GAACAATTCAATGGGAAATAGTGTGCAATCATTGAAAATCCAAGTGGCAGTCTCTCTCTCTCTCTCTCTCTCTCTCTCTCTCTCTCTCTCGATTTATTCAGAAATAAAAAATAATTTTTTTTATTAGAAAACATGGAATAAAAAAGTGAATTCATATTATGGGGTCATTAAAGGAAATATTAATTCATTCACTAATTGCTTATGAATATCATTATATCATTTAAAGACAAATTATACACAAAATTAGAGCCATAATTAAAATCAACAAATTATTACATTAATGAATTGTGTTCAGCAAAAAATAAACATGTTTGATTTAATATATCGATAGCCAATGAACTTTTAATACATTTATTACCGGTTTTATTCATTTAATAAACAATTTTATAGATATATAACTTAACATTACTTTAAAAATAGTTATTTTGTCGCCTTTTAATGAACTCTTCGCTACCAAACAGTTTTAGTGTTAATTAATTGTGAATAATATATATAATTAAATTAGAAATTCAATTTAACTTTCTAAAATTATATTTAATTGAATTTTTAGTAGTTATAATAGTTTATATTTAACACGATTATCATATAAAATAATAATTTTCACAGCTATTCATGTTGCTAATTCAAATGGAAAAAAATGTATCACGATCATTAGAAATTAATTAATATGGTTTAGAATAGTTTGGAGTTAAATAAAATTGTTTAATGTATTACTATCTGTGTTAAGTGTTACCTGTCGTCAACTAACACATCATCTGTTGTCAGATATTATAAAAATACATTAAATCTCTCTCTCTCTCTCTCTCTCTCTCTAACTTTTCATCTAAAATTTATTTATCAATCAATTGCTATTAACAACACATTTTATTTTACACAATATTTAATGAGAATAATTGTAAAATACAATACAAACAACAATTTAGCATTCATTTCTCATAATCAGTGAAAAGTAATGTATTTTCAATACAAATAATAATTTGCAAAAAAAACATGCGATAAATGTATAAAAATGAGTTAAACAAAGACAAAGGGCTCAACACCGGGCTGTTTGACGAGTGCGTCCAGAGTTCTGTCTCTGCCGTCTCTTTTCAACGTAAGTCTTATTCTTTGACTCAATTTGTATTCATCGACCGCTCGGTAAAAGTCGTCCATCGCTTTCACTTCGTGGCCATTGATGTGTGTAATCACATCGTCTTCCCGGACGTCGCTTAAAGCCCTGTTGTAAAGTTATAAATGCTATCATTAATCAAAACCAAACACAAAATGAGTTGCCATTCATACCAGAGTGTACTCGCATTGTCCAGAAAATCGTAAACCAGAATCCCGTTCCCGTCCTTCAGGCCGGGGGTCAGTTCCCGGACAATGAGTCCCAATGGCGGCGGTCCCGATGTTTGCGATTTATAATCCGAGTGAACCCCTAATGGACACAAATGAGACAAAAAATTAACTGATATTATAAGTCCAACATAACAAAGTGGTCATCAATTAACTAATGATATCATTAATGGGGTACGCGATGTTGAAGTTGAGATTGTAGTGAAAGGCGTTGATGCCGAGCACTTTGCCCGCGGCGTTCACCACAGCGGTGCCCTTTTCATGTTTGCCAACCGGTGCAGAGTGTTGAATCATGGTCATCGCTTTAAATCTGGCGTTATGTATATTAGTAAACGCCTTGATATCATCGGCCGTTTGCGTAACATTAGTGACCGGACCGTCGGTCACGTGATTGTAGAGACCATATCGAGGACAGCCCACCACAAAGATCTGAGAGCCGAGTCTGAGGTTTGTATAATCGCCGGAAGTTTCCACACAGGGATAGCCGCCCTCCCGGCCCACCAGCCCTATCATCGCTGTTTGAAACACTCCTCCCGTGTTATAGAGTCGCCTTCCCATCACTTCCTGGCCATTGCCTAATCGGACGATAAACTCTTCGTGCTTTAAGACCTGATCCATTGCGGTGATAACGTGACCCCTTTTGTTGATTATAAAACCCGATCCCAACAAAAACGGCAGCGCTTTGTTGTCCGCATAATTTGATGATTTAAATACGGGTCTAATTGTCACAAACGGCTCAAACCACTCGGGGCTGAACGCCTCAGCCATATGAGCCCTCTTTAAGCCAAACCAATGTCTGAAGCGATTGTCTGTCCATTGATTTCGTGGCGATTGTTGTCTATTGTGTTGAAGTGTGAGTCCAATCGCTGGAATCGCTGTCACAACTGATCCCCTGTTATGACAAACAATTTATTTAGTTTTTGGTCAAAACGTTTATAAATACCTTTTGATAAACTCTTTAAACAAAGAACTAATTCTAAACATAATTTTCAGATAATTTTGTTTGACTTTACTTTTGGTTATTTTTTTGTAATAAATACCAAAAATTTAAATATTAGCGTAAATTTGAATTTTTATCCGCTTTTATATCTCGTGTTAAGAATTACATGTAAATTAAAAATAATTAAACACAAACATAACACTTATTGTCATCATATTTGAGATATTATTGTAACAAATGATCTCTCAATTAACTAGATAGTGTGTATACTTTAGTTAATAATATTATTACAAAATGTGCACACATTTAATGTATTTAATATGAACAAAATATAAGATCAATATTATATACAGTATAACAATAAGAAGTCAGACACAAAACGTGGTCGGATCACCTTCAGTAAAAATTAATTAATATGATTTAGAATAGTTTGGAGTTAATGTTTAACTTTTCATCTAAAATTTATTTATCAATCAATTGCTATTAATCACATATTTTAATTTACACGATATTTAATGAGGATAATTGCAAAATACAATACAAACAACAATTTAGCATTTCTCATAATCAGTGAAAAGTAAAGTATTTTCAAAACAAATTATAATTTGCAAAAAAATGCAATAAATGTATAAAAATAAGTTAAACAAAGGCAAAGGGCTCAACACTGGGCTGATTGCGCGGTTTGACGAGTGCGGCCACAGTTCTGTCTCTACCATCTCTTTTCAACGTAAGTCTTATGGTTTGACTTAATTTGTATTCATCGACCGCTCGATAGAAGTCGTCCATCGCTTTCACTTCGTGGCCATTGATGTGTGTAATCACATCGTATTCCCGGACGTCGTTTGAAGTCCTGTTGTAAAATAATAAATGCTATCATTAATCAAAACCAAACACAAAATGAGATGTCATTCATACCAGAGTGGACTCGCATTATCCACAAAACCGTAGACCAGAATCCCGTTCCCGTCGGCAATCTTGGGATCCTTAAGCTTGTCCTTCAGGCCGGGCGTCAGTTGCAGGACAATGAGTCCCAACGGCGGTCCCGATGTTTGCGATTTATAATCCGAGTGAATCTCTTAAGGAGACAAATGAGACAACTGGTTAATAAGTCCGACACCAATAAAGTGGTCATCAATTAACTAATGATATCATTAATGGGATACGCGATGTTGTAATTGAGATTGTAGTGAAAGGCATTGATGCCGAGCACTTTGCCCGCGGCGTTCACCAAAGCGGTGCCCTTTTCATGTTTGCCAACCGGTGCCGAGTGTTGTATCATGGTCATCGCTTTAAATATGCCGTGCTTTACATTAGTGAATGCCTGAATTTCTTTGTTCGTTTGCTTAACATTAATGACCGGACCGTCGGTCACGTGATTATAGAGACCATATCGAGGACAGCCCACCACAAAGATCTTAGTGCCTATTCCAAGGTTTGCATAATCGGGTGAAGTTTCCACACAGGGATAGTCGCCCTCCCGGCCCACCAGCGCTATCATTGCTGTTTGAAACACATCTCCCGTATTATAGAGTCGCCTTCCCATCACTTCCTGGCCATCGCCTAATCGCACGATAAACTCTTCGTGCTTTGAGACCACATCCATTGCGGTGATAACGTGACCCCTTTTGTTGATTATAAAACCCGAGCCCAACAAATACGGTAGCGCTTTGTTGTCCGCATAATTGGATGATTTAAATACGGGTCTAATTGTCACAAACGGCTTAAACCACTCGGGGCTGAACTCTTTTGCCATATGAGCCCTCTTAAAGCCAAACCAATGTCTGAAGCGATTGTCTGTCCATTGATTTCGTCGCGATTGTTGTCTATTGTGTTGAAGTGTGAGTCCAATCGCTGGAATCGCTGTCACAACTGATCCCCTGTTATAACAAAAGTATTCAGTTTTTGGTTAACTAAATGTTTATAAATACCTTTTAATAAACCTTTTAAACAAAGAACTAATTCTAAACATAATTCTCAGATAATTTTGTTTGACTTAACTTTTGGTTATTTTTCGTAATAAATAACAAAAATGTAAATATTAGTGTAAATTTGAATTGTTATCCACTTTTATATCTCGTGTTAAGTATTAAATGTCGATTAAAAATAATTCAACACAAATATAGCACTTATTGTTGTCATATTTGAGATATTATTGTAACAAATGATCTCTCAATTAACTAGAGATCAGTTTCTTATAGTATGTATACTTTAGTTAACAATACTATTACAAAATGTGCACAAATTTAATGAATTTGAATTAATTTGCAAATATTGTGTACTTTATATTTCATGAATTGTATTTCTCAAATAAAAAAAACATTTTGTAAGTGTAAACAACAAAATTCAAAAAGTTTATAAAGCATTTTAGAAATTAAAAATTATTTCGTATATAAATGTCAACAAAATATCAAATCAATATTATATACAGTATAACAATAAGAAGTCAGACACAAAATGTGGTGGGATCACCTTGCTGTCTCTTCAGCACATCCGGTGTTACCACCCAATCATCGCCGGTATTCATCGATAGGATAATGTTTTGTCCCGATTTGAGCGCATCCATAGCCAAGTAAAAGTCGTCCATCGATTGAACATCATTACCATTGATGCCAATTATCACATCAAACAGATTCAGCTCCACGTCTTGCGTAAGACTAATGCAAACAATAATCAAGTTTTAAAAAACGTTATAAAAATTATCTAAAACTTAGTCACCAATTATTTTGAAACTCGCTGGTCATCCACCAAATGATAATACCGCTGGCCATCGGAATATTCACGTGACTATAATCGGCATCATTTCGTAACGCTGTGCGTAACTTGTCGTCCAACCAGTGGACCACAAGACCTAGTGGTCGGTCCACTCGGGTCTCCATCTGATCCCAATAATCGTCAATATCTGTGTTGATATTGTCTGCAAATTAATTATCAATTAAAACAAATTATCACAAATTGCATGAATGTAAATAACGTACTGAATAGCGGACTATTGACGGGTAGGGCGTAGTTGTCTGTTAGCCAGTGTTGGGCAAAATTAACGGCCAAAATGCGTCCGTCTCGGCCGACAAGAGCGGCGCCCGAGTCTACACTCGTGAGGGGAGCCGTGTGTTGAATGTAAAGCAATTGTTTAAAGTAATCCACTTTAATCTCAGAGATTTGGTCGCCTGTGATGTCCGGCGCGGCGATCACACCGTCGGTGAGCGCACCGCTCAGACCGGGCTTAGGGCTGCCGACGGCCAACACTTCGTCGCCCACTCTTAACACTCCCGGTTCGCCAAAAGCCACGGCCGGCCACTCGTCTCCCTCTAACTTAATGAGCGTTATTTCCCAAAACCTTTTGATCACTTTTCCCATCACTTCGCGGCCGTCACCCAAACGTACGGACACTTTAGTATAGGAGGACATCGAGGCTCCAGTGGTGACCGCAAACCCCCGCTTGTCTATTATGACTCCCGAACCCAAGTGATAGTCCGATCCCTTCGGGAATAGCGTCGGATCCGATGCCCGAAACGCTGGCCGAAGACTTATGAACGGTGCGAACCATTCTTTACTGAAGACTTTTGGCAGTGTTTCTGTCGCTGGCATTAAGTGAGCACTTCTTAGGCAAAGCGGTTCTTGAAGACGACTGTTTGGTCCCATTTGTGGTGATTGTCTTCTCCGGTATTGAAGCCAATAGTTTGTGGCAATCGCTGGAATCG